GTTGGGATGGTCGTGGTAGTCGTGGTGGTGGTGGTGGTGGTACTCGTGGTGGTAGGGATGGTCGTTGTAGTCGTGGTGGTGGTACTCGTCGTGGTGGTAGGGATGGTCGTCGTAGTCGTGGCTGCGGTGGTAGTCGTCGTGGTGGTAGGGATGGTCGTCGTGGTGCTGGTAGTCATCGTTGTAGTCGTGGTTGTGGTTGACGTCGACTGAGGCAGTTTTCAGACGTGGGCAACAAAGATTTCGTGCGGTGCAGTTGCCATCAACGATACCGAACATAAACCTGAACGGGCAGGGGTGCTCCCTTAAAATGCGTGGGGTTGATCCTAATCCTGCCAACATGATCATACAGTGCGGGGCACATCTTATGTCACGTCCAAGCCTAGCCATAAAGCCGCAAGCTGGTTCTTCATTGTGCTAAGTAAGCCAAGCGGCGGTTGTGGTTGTGGTGGTTTTCTTGAGCTTCTTACGCAAGTCCCGCACGAGGCCATGAAGCACCTTCAGGAACTTCTTCTTGAGCGGCAGGATTTTGAAGCGCCCCTTACCCTTCCTATCCGAGAACCATGAGCCGTCCGACGCATACTGGACCAGCTCCGGCTCTTCGTCTTCGGAGATCTCCAAGATCTCTCGCTCTTCTCCAAGTTGGCTGTCGTCTTGAACCACAATGACATCCCCAACCTCAAGAAGAAGCGGAAGAAAGAAGAAAGAAGAAAGAAGAAGAAGAAGCTTCTTGAAGCGACATTGCTTTCAACACGGCTGTGACTTTCATGTTTGTGGGTCTCTTCGGCTCTCCTGCCTCGAATCCGCTCACGTTCGTGATCTGCAGCTCCGTGTCGCCGGGGTAAGCGTCAGTGGCTAACTCGGACATGGGAGGTCTGGCAATCGTGGTGGTCTCGGTCGTCTCCCGGGCAAGCTCACGATCATGCAGACCTTTCTGCAACGCCGACATCGCCTCCATATCAGCCTCCACACCTTGGGCGATTGAAACTGAATTTCCAACGATTCCTTCACGAAAATGAGCAACCGAAACCATTTGGAACATAAATGCTTTCACGTGTTTCGCGGAAACCGAAGCACATTCTGCTTCTCCTCCTCCTGCCGCCGCAAGGCCGAGCCCGCAACACCAGAAGAGGAGCGCACAGAGGCTCAGCAGAGACGTCTGAAACGCCCGGGCACCAACCATGATGTGCACGGAGGTCTGAGGTGTCACGGCAAGGAGTGGAGTGCCCCTGATATCGCTTGACAATCAAAAATGTCTCGGAAACGAGCACTGCAGATGGATTGAGACTTGACTGACCGTCACCTAGATCAGGTCATGCAGATATAGGACGGATCGTACACAAGCCCTTCAGGCCGTACATCCCAACATCCAATTTGCTGCATCCAGTTTGCTGACTCCGTCAACAGCACCGACAAAAAAGCCTGCGCGCCACGCAAAGCTTTCTCGAACTCTGAACACACAGGCATCAACGATCTGAACATGGCTTTGCTTGCGGAAGCCCTGCTTCCCCATTCGGGCCCTTAAGCTGCCTCCAGCGCAGGTGCAGGTGCAGAAGTTTTCCTGCAAAGAAACAAATGCTGCAGCAAATCTCATTCTGCACGGCGCAGACGCCTTATCGTAATCCTAAACCTAAACTTCTAAACCCTACGCTGACGAGAACGACATGTTCCCTATCAATCGTGAAGGCCGCCTCGACCCGGCGTTGGAGCCTTCAAAGGCTTGGGCTCTTCAAGCGAAAAACAGACAGTCACAAGGATCTCTACGCGGTGTTGGAAGTCCGACTGTCTCTGGAAGCCTTTGACGACAGGCTGCACCTCTAGAGAATTCTGATGGGCACCCACACCTCTGCCTGCCCCTTCCCCTGGCACTTCCGGCGCGGACCTTGGAGAGAGTTGAGGCTTGCAACCGTTGAAAGGCGGAGGACGGCGGAATTCCAAGCAAAAGCCGTGGTCCGAAGGGTTTCAGTCCCATAGCCCCTGCAGCCTGGCTCGAAATCTCCTGTCCGAGACGATCGTGCTCCCTGCCTGGCTCCAACATTCTACATTCTACTGCGTTGGATTACAGCATCCAGGGTCGGATGTAGAAGCCGGCAGAGCAACCCGAGTCCGGCGAAGGGAGTGTCTACCGCGCCCGTGAAGGACCTCGCTGTTATGAAAACTAATCTGAATGACAAACGCCGAGATGGAAAAAGGATCCCACACAGCTTATCTTTATGCTTTCTCTTAAGTTTGTCTGTCGTTACATTGACAAAGCAGCATGGTGCGCGGCTGCTTTCTGTCCGGCCGCTCGTGTCCCAATACCTCATGTTCGGCGGAGGAAGGCCAAGGCAGTGCATCTGATCTGCGGATAGTCTTTTGTCTGTTAAGAGCCCAGAGACTCCAAAACCCCTTGTTTAAGGAATATACCTTAAATCTTATTAGGGTTCCCATTATGATTTAAGGTATATTCCTGAATTAAGGGGTTTTGGAGTCTCTGGGTGCTGCCTTTGGACCAGGCTTCACGCCGAGGGCCGGGCAGGTGTTAACCTTGTGGCGGCTGCGGAGGTTGCCTTCCCGGTCTTCTCCTGTCTGGGTTTCTCTAGTTTGGGGTTTAGGGTTTAGGGTTTTAGGTGGAGCCCGCATAGCATGTGCAGCTTCGATATCTGCCGAAGCCAGTTCGGAGGGCTATAGCCCGCACTGCCCGGGACCGGGACCGAACCTCTTAACGACCAGACTATCCAGAGAGACCCTTCACGATAAGATGAAGATCCAGCAGACTCAGCACTCAGCAGACCATCTCTATTGAAAAGGCATCTTCGTTGGGCAAGCAGGCCTGGTTCGAGGAGGTCTGTCGTTTTCCGGGCTCTTGATCCGGAGCTCGGTGTCTCTCCTTCACAGTTCAGTCCGAATTTGCGAGCATTGGTCTCCTGGTGTAAACCAGCTCCAGGCCCAAAGATAAGCGAGAAGCATGGGAGGTCGCAGAAATTACGGACAAAGGGCTCTGGCCTATGCCCTTTTCTATACGTTGGACTATCCAGCATCCACAGCCATTCGAAACAGAGGTTGCCTGCTTCATCGCCTTTCTGGCAGCTCGGTCCGCTTTCTGAACCTCCTGGATAGATCGCAGGATGGCAGGCAGCACACCGCAGGCTCCAAATGTGGAAGTTGATTGTCTCGTCGCGACTGGACGGTGACTCGCTCTCTTGGGTCAGTAATATTTGCATGACTGCAGGTTTTGTGACGCTCCATGATTACAGCACATGGGGCAATCCGCAAGCCTGGCACCTAAACTACAACAACCTAAGATTTACCCAGATGTTCAGTGTCCATGCAAACCACGTGCATATACTTCCCAGCTCACACACGGACACAAAGCCGGACAACTCCTAAACTTTCAGAAACAGACCGTGGCCGCCATGATGTGGCTCCTTATCTGGAATCTGGATTATGCCGACATCCAATCTCTCTTAACAAAGAAGGAAAGCCGGTCCTTCTCCTGCCCATCCTCTGCATCTTGCCTGGAACTCGTGAGCCGTGAAGCTGTGAAGACCACGGCACAACTCTGACCAAGGAAACTCCCTTGCCTGGAGGGCTTGGAGGTCGCATCCTTTGCGTCCAGCCGTGGAAGGACTGCAGGCGAGGCCTTCGCCTTGCAACAGAAGCACCATCGGAAGCACATTTTGGCATCACTCTTTCGTTCGATCGCGAAAGTATGTCAAGCTTTGAAACCTCTGACTCACTGCAAGGTCTCCTTCGGAGGACTTTTCCGCAGCTTGGCTTTTTTGGACTCCTGGCCAGCGGTGAGCGTCGGGAGATTGATGGAGATTGAAGGTGACGCTTCACGGCAGCTGGACATAAACAATCTTGGACAGGCAACCTCTCAACGGGGCCAACCTCTAATACATCGATACATCTTCTCCCAGGCATCCCCACAGATCCCCGCAAGGCCTTGTCCTCCTTCGGAGGAGGGAGTGGCGGCAGCGGCAGAATGCCCTGCGTTCCACTCGAAGGCGGCAGGATTGCGGCTTCGAAACACAAGAGTGGGCACACAAGCAGAGCGCTCGATGCAGCATTTGCTTTTCCACTCAGAATCCAAATCTGCTCCCACAAAGGAAACCCTGGAAGGCTGCAAGTTGCAGATCGCAGCTGGGCGCCTTGGTGCCTGCAGGCCTCGTCAGCTCTAAGGCTCTGCCCAGCTTTGATCGGAGTCTCATTGGGTTCGCTCTTGCGAATGTCAGGCGGACAAGACTTCAGAGGGCAACTTCGGGCCCTTGGGGTTTCAGCTGTTTGCAGCCTTTTCCTTGGGGCTGCTGCACGGTGAATGAAACGTCCGACTTCCGCCCATCTGCAGAGAGAGCGAAGGAGAGAGCCCCAGAGGTTTGCAATAACCAAAGCCCCCAATGCAAGAGAACCACAGCGACCCTCACCCACCGAAAGGCAGAGCTCCAAACCTCTTGCAGTCGACTTCTTCCTGGGACCACGGGCAGCAGTTTGGGATCAAACTGCGCACTTAGGGGCCCACGGTTGTAGGGCTGGGGCTTAGGGCTTATGGAGTTGGGACCAAGCAGTGTTCACAACGATCTGCAACTGGAATATGAACAGCTCGTTGCAGCATTCTACCGGTTTGAGCAGAGTGGCAACTCTGCCATGGGCCTCTGTGTCTCACGCACCATCCACAAATCGGAATGAGCAACGCACACTGCATTGCCATGCTGAAACATGCTGGACTCGACATGCGGCTACAACAGCGTCGGACAAATTGTGAAGATGTCGGCTTCCAAGGGGGGAAACCGCAACACTGGCAATAACTGCAACGGTGTTCCTAGGACAAGCCACTGCAATGTCATTGCTACCAGCACGAGTCACCGTGTGCAAGCTGCGTTTCCACCGTGGAAGTTTAAAATTTTCTATCTGGAACCCTCCGGAATCTACACACTTCCGTGTATGACAGCCTGCAGCTGCCGCTCCAGATGCGCGAGGGGCGGCAATTTAACCTGCCATGCGGGCACGGCAAGGACAGCTCAGAGATGCTCAGATAAACAGGATCGCCTTACGCGGGACTACATCGCCAGGGTTGGCGGAGGAGATAAACTACCGGAGTAAACGGCTGAAACAGGTGTTGGAAGGTGCTCTATACCAATATGCAAAGATACGAACTATGGTTCTGCCGCGGATTTTGTCGCCGACAATTTAGCAAAGTGGCGGGCACACGGAATCTATCTACTACAAGAGCGATCTATGGCATGAGGGGTCTGGACATCCAGATCTCTGGGCTTCAAACAGCCTGGGTGAATTTCAGCAAGTTAGTGGGCACACAGACTGTGGGCCTATACAAGAGTCATCTATGCAGCCTTGTGGCTTCAGACGCCTGTCCGAGAGCATCGCCAGGATTTGAGTTTGTCGCACTTGGCTATGGAATCATGCGGACCACAGAAAAGTGCAGCTTCTTCGTTGGCGTGGCTGGAGGAGGAATTCTCTCACCGGAGTAAAATCATACTTATCATACCTCTGTAATGCTCCGGACGGAGGGCTTTGTGGAGGACTCTAAGGGGCAAGGTCCTCCAAGGCATTCATTCAAAATGCGAAGCTACCCTCGAACTTTCGTCCTGCTGCCCTATGCCACCAAGAGTCTCTCTAGCAGGCTCAGTTTCTGTAGTGTGAGATTTCACGTCCCTGGTTCCGGCAAAACGGTACCAGACCGCTTTGATGCTGGAACTCACGTTTGTGTTGTTCCGGCATCAAGATATGGTGATGCCTTCGGACGGCATGCACAACCTTCGGGCTCGTACACAGTCGAGTCATGTCGTCCGTATCGGAGTTGGCAGTAAAATGGGTAGTATGCAAGGGCGGTCAAAGGCACTCGCATTGGCCCGTGAGGCACTTTATGATGTCCTGTTCCTCCAGACTCACCGGTCCATCATCCGTCTGACTCTCCTGTTAGGACCAAGACTTTGCATGCCCGAGAAGCTGTTAATGCCACAACTTCGCGACTGCCGACCTCTGTAGCTTTCAGCACGGCCGGTTTGCGCGTCTCGTCTTTGAATCAACAAACAAATTGGCCGCTTGCCCAGGATGCTTTGAGGGACGCGCAGGATGACTCAAAAATGAGCTTGACTTGGGTCATGTCTCGTTTTCCAACTGCTGAACGTGACTGAACCTGCCGAGTTGTCAGGGAATGTAGAATTCGGGGCATACCTGTCCTTG